GTGTGTGTGTGTGTGTGTGTGTGTGTGTGTGTGTGTGTGTGTGTGTGAAAATAGTCTCTGTAGCCCAGGCTAGCCTCATTATGTATCAAGGGCAACCTTGAAATTCAGATCCTCCTGACTCTACTCCCTAAGTGCTGAGGTTAAAGGCATGTACCACATGCCTGTATGGGGTGCTCAAGGTAGAACCCAGGGCCAGGACCTCATGCATGCTAGACAAGCACTCTTCCAGCTGGATGACATCCCCAGCCCTCTAGGGTTTTTTTTGGGACGGGGGGGGGGTGCAGAGAGGTTATTGTTGTTTTGTTTTTTAAGGTTTATTTTATGTATATGAATATTTTACATGCATGTATATAAGTCCACATGTGTGTCTGGTATGTGTGGAGGTTCAAAGAGGGCATTGGATCTTCTGGAACTGGAGTTACTGGTAATTGTGAGCCACCATGTGGGTGCTGGGAACTGAACCCAGGTCCTCTACAAAATCAACCAGAGCTCTTAACTGCTGAGCCATCTCTCCAGCTCCCACCCTGGCACCTCAGTGTTCTTATGAGGAGCTAAGTACCAGTGCACCGTGCACTGGAGTACCCACTCATAAGGTCAGGGTCAGAGACCTCACATCAGCCCGAAGCCAGACTCCCCACTTTGGGCCCTATGGCACATGTGCTCAGGCACAGGGTTCCTCTCTAACCCGACACATTCATGCCATCAGAGACCAACAATTTTCTCCTCCCTGCAGACCACACTCTGCCCCGCTCCCCAATACTATAAGCATGCAGCTTTGAACTTGGCATTTCAACAGGCCTGTCCTGAGGGACCATCACGTTAACTCTGTGTTGTCCTCTCCCCTTCCTTCCTTCCTTCCTTCCTTCCTTCCTTCCTTCCTTCCTTCCTTCCTTTCTTTCTTTCTTTCTTTCTTTCTTTCTTTCTTTCTTTCTGTGTGTTTGGGTCTTGCTCTGCAGCTAAATCTTCAGGAACATGCAGGGTCTTGAAAGTCAGAGGAGGGCGAGCAGCCAAACATGCTTCACTGCAGTTTAGAGGGCAGTGATTACAGGATTAAGAATGTTGGTGGAATGTCTCAGTTGTTCACAAGAAACATGAAAGGGAGGAGCTGACTCTAGTCAAACTAAAAACAACCCTGAGGGCATCTGGTTAATACATTCCGATAAAGCAAAGGGGACCACAGGGAAGCTTAGCATTAAATGACAGATGATGGAAAGTGAGAAAAGACCAGTGATTACAGGCCACATTCCACCACAGGCTGTGTCTGCAGTTTGGACCTGCCTGTCTAGAGATGGAGGCAGGGCCTCAGCTTCCTGACTGGACCATGTGTTAACAGATGCAAGGGCATGCACCAAGCCTCAAGTTCAATTCCCAGGACTGCTAGAGTGGGGGAGGGTAGAATACTGACACACTAAAACTATCAGCACACTTAGGAGGTAAACCACAGCAATAAAGCAGCACTTATTTCAGAATGCAACAACATTTTGAGTTTAAGGTATGTGTGAATGCACCACATCGTGGGAATTGACACCCCCCCCAAAAAAACAAACAAACAAACAAACAAACATGAATTCATCACATGGATATGGAGACTCCAAACTCAGCTCTCTTCTTGATACTAAAAAATAAAATCCTCTTTTGAGTTCTTGGTCAAGTAGGGTTCCAAAAACACCCTCAAACACTGTAAGTCATTTCTAATGCTCTTGGTTACCCTGCAGATAATACACACTTGAGTCACAGGACATGGAGAAATCAAGCTGGTACTGACTTGGGAGCTTCATACTTACTGCCCAGCATTCATAGTACCAGAAGGTTCCATTTACAATACTGAGAGAGAGAGAGAAGTAGTCAGCAATCTCGCCGAGCTGTGAACCCCATGAACCACTGTACTGACTACCTGGCAAAATATGCCCTCTGCTGCAAGAGTGTCATGAATGTTCTGGAAGTAACCGAATACTTCCTGATTAGATCTAAAGTCTGTTCCATGAGACAGAACCTGTGCCTGGTACTGTTAATTGGGCCCTAATCCAATGGCTGGATGGATCACAGGGCATAGGGAAAACCTACGACTATTATTCTGCTAAATGGACAGAGTAATAAACGGCTTAATTGAGGAAGAGGGATAGAAAGATTATAAGAGCAGTAGGAACTGCATGTCCACAAAGAAATATTATTTGTTGGACACGACAGCAAATCAGAGCACTTATGAGTGCAGATACAAGACCTGAACAAGCTCAAAATCCCACCATGGGCAGAGAAGGGGCTCAGGAAATCACATCTCTAGCTAAAGAGCAACATGCACCTGATGGCTGCTGATGAAGGGAGAGTCAGTTTTCTTCAGTAATGTGGCCCCCGAGAAGGCTGCCCATGCTCCAGCAGATGGTCCTACAGCCATCCATGCACATACAGGAAACACTAAGTGAAGACAGCGTCAGTCTGTCTGTCTGCCTGATGTCTGTTTGTTTGTTTTAAAAAGAAAACACATAAAGCTTGGAGGGAATAGTGGTAGGAGGATAGGAGAGAAATTGGAGAGAGAGAGAGAATAGGAGGTGGACTTGATCAAAACACATTAATATGCATGCATGAAATTCTCAATAAAAATGAAATCAATAAAATTAAAATATATCTACCCTTTAGCCTAACAATATATTTCCATCTTCGTTTGAAACCCAATGTCATGCCTAATTAAGTTCATGAGAAACAGTTCCACTAATGGTAGAAACACACAAGAATGGTCGTTATGCCGCCATTATTAAAACTACTGTGCACTCTCAGACAAGACAAAGGGCAAAGACACAGAAACTGGAATAGGCAAGGGATCATCTACTGCAGATGTGTCCTATATACAGAATATATGGACAATATCGGTCATGAGGGCAGGGACGGGGGCTCTCCTGGGTAGGAGTGATCCATGTCACAAGCCCCCAGCTCTGCCAAACATTGGTCTAGAGCTGTAACTGATGAAAAAACAAATCCTGACAGTATATTATTTGTCGGAGCCTTAAAGAGAGAGTGTAAGGGTGACCGCTCTATGCTTTGGAGAGAAAACAGATAACTGAGGACACCCAGCCCAGCCAGGTATTAAAGGGTTATTTACTAGGAGCCTACTGAGGTGAGCAAGGGCTTGGAAAGCTCCAGCTTCTGTGTGCAAGGACACGTGTGTCTCTCACACTCGCATGGGTCCCAGGAGAAAACAGAGCAGTCCTGAGCTTGGATTACTGGAGGGTTGGCATGCCCTGCCGTGACTGGCCAGCTGAAGGAAGTGTGGCCTCTTCTAGGGCCAATGCAACCCCTAAAAAGTATGGAGATATGGAGAGAGGTGTCTGACCTCCATCCAGTCTCCTCAGGTGCCTTCCAGCAGGAGAGCAGAACAGGGACGGAGCCAGACAGGATGGGGAAGCAATCCTCCTGATCAGTGTGTGTGAGGTGCTATGATTGTTTTTGGTTTTTTCCATAGGTTGTCGAGGATATCCTAGCTAACCAAGAGGAGGAAGAAAAACTCAAAAAGAAAAAGAAAAAAGAAGAAAGGGAGACTAGGGTCCAAAGACGCAAAATTGATGAGAAGAAAGGCTCCCAAAAAGACAAATTGAAGGTAAAGAGTGTGTAACTTTTTTAGAATTCTCTTGCTTTACTCTGGCTTTGCTCAGTTCTCAGGTCAAGGGGTAACCTTGAAAGCTGCTAAGGTCGCCATCGGCAGCTTCAGACTTCATTTTGTTTTATGTTGACCAGCGTTCAGTCACAACCTCGTCTTCATTTCCTAAGTACCTATTAGGACAACTGTCAGTTTATATAATTTACATAATTATTTCCCCCAAAATAAGTCACCCCACTTGTCTTTCTTCAAGACAAGCTGTTTGTCAAATCAAGGAGCCACTGTGAAGTGAAAATACCCCTGTCTTTGTTAGCCCAAATGTGCTCATTTGAATTCAGCATAAAACTGAACTTAGCCAGTGCAGTGGGGCATGCCTTTAGATCCAGCACTAGGGAGGCAGAGGCAGGCTCATTTCTGTGAGGTCGAGACCAGCCTGATCTACAAAGTGAGTTTAGGGTAGCCAGAGCTGTTACACAGAGAAACCCTGTCTCAATAAAATAAAATAAAATAACTAAGCAATAACAAACAAACAAATAAAACTAAAACACTGACACTGGCAGTGCCTTACCAGCACCTTCAGAAACCACCAATAAAGTGTAAGCAACTAGCATTTACCCCAGGAGATAGTTGGGTAAAATATATTAGCCCTGCCTTATTTGCCAGCTCCTGTTTTGTTTTAATTACATGCTGTCTTAGTTTCATTTCTATTGCTATGATGAGATACCCTGGAGGAAAGAAAAGAGCAACTTAGGTGAGAAAGGGTTTGTTGTGACTCACAACCTGAGCAGCTACAGTCCATCACAGCTGGCCCTCACGGCGGCAGAAGCTTGGGGCAGCTACTCACACCTAGGCAAGAGCAGAGAGAAATGAATGCGTACATCTTGCTTGCCTGCTTGCTTGTGTTCGGCTTCATTCCTTCACTTTTTACAGCTCAGGAGCCCTGTCTAAAGAATGCTGCAGCACACAGTGGGCTGGTCCTCCCACATCAATTAATGTCATCCAGACGATCCCCATAGATAAGCCCACAGGCCAACCTCATCTGGATAATGCCCTATTGAGACTCTCTACCCAGAGTAGAGAGTGATGCTAGATTGTGTCCAGTTGACAGTTAAAGCTGACCATCAAACATATCTTGCTGCCTCTTTGGACGTAATTGCTTGTTACTCCCAGGACACAGAGTTGGCACCTTGACACACGTCCTATGCAGGGCGCGATTGGGAGTGGAGGTGGATTGCTTGTTTGATGCTATCTCAGGTCAGTACTCCAAGTCCTCATCCTCAAGCACATCATCCATCCTGGTTAGAAGGCCAGGGAGGGAGGGGGGAAGAGTTCCACTATACTTGTATGGGCACTGGCTTGCCCGCCTTGACCCTCACAAAGTGGTGGGAAGTTGTCACTCAGAAACCTTGGAGAGCCTTCATATCAATAATGATCGATTACCTTTTTCACTAACCACTATTAGTAAAAGTCATGCTCTTCCTGAAACATCACACAAGCAGAGAGCTGAACATCCTGTAGGTCCATGAGATTGTCAGAAATACTCATCACTGAGAAGAAAAAGCCACATAGGCACAGAATACTGATCTGAACAGCTGGACTTTTGGCCAGCATTTGAAGATCCCATCACTGCTGGGCCAGTGGGATGAGGGAAGGGTGGAACTTTCTTTGGATCTCTGTGTTTTCACATAAGAACATCATGGACCATGGGGCAGGAAGATAATAACAGGCAGAGGAAATAGATGTCTGCAGTGAAACAATATTTAGCAGAGAAGACAGGGCTGTTGCACACATGAACTCCCAATGGCGTGACTGCAGGCAGAAGGCCTGTACAGGGCCAAGCCAGCCAAAATGCCAGCGTGGACTAGGGACGAGCTTGTAAAGCCATTCCTCTGGCTGAGGGATTATTGCCACAAGATGGCTGCAGACCATCAAGGGAGATTCCATTTTCTTCAAGGATGTGGCCCATGCACATATAGGCAGACCCAGTAGATTTGAAAAAAAAAAAAAACCCAAAAACAAAAAAGACATGGATGGGGAGGACATGTGGGATAGATTTGCTCAAAAATACATTATATACATGTATGAAATTCTCAAGTGATGGAAAAATTCAAGTAAAAAAGGAGAGTGTTCTAAAATAAAACACCTGTAGGTCATTTGATCCCTTCATCAGAATCTCAGCAAAATCATGAAATGTTGAAAACAGGAACATTTTTCTTCTGTCCCTGGATCCATCTCAAGACACCACGTTGAGCTTTTAGACAAGAAACAAGAACCACACAGGAAATTTGGTCTTCCTTTTGGAGCTAATGGCAGAGAAAACAAAACCCCAAAACAAATCCACATCTGAGCTTCTAAATTTAAATTTTCATATAAGAATTTTAGAAAACATTATTCACCTCACTATTTTAGCCTAGTACTGCAGCATAAACTTGTGCTCCCATTGTGAAAGGTGGAAGCGGGTGCTTCTCTGGGCTCCCTAGTGCTCAAGCCTGGCCATTTGGTGAGTCCCAGGGCAATGAGAGACCCTGTCTTAAAACACATGGTGACACCGGGTAGTGGTGGTTCATGCCTGTAATCCCAGCAGCTGGGAGGCAGAGGCAGGTAGATCTCTGTGAGTTCAAGGTCAGCATTGTCTACAGAGAGAGTTCCAAGATAGCTAGGACTACAGAGAAACCCTGTCTGGGGGGAGGGGGGAGTAGACTCCACGGGCTGGAACAACGGCTCAATGTGTAAGCATGAGCTGCTTCTCCAGAGGACCCAGTTTCGATTCCCAGCAATCACAGTGTCACCACCATCTGTAGCTCCAGTTCTAGGGAGTCTGATGCCCTCTTCTGACCTTCATGGGCACCATACACACACACGGTACACATACATACATGCCTACAGACAGACAGACAGACAAAACACTCATAAATAAAAAAGTAAATAAATAACTTTTAAAGTTGAGTTCAGGGCTGAGGAGATGCTCTCTCATCAAGCACTTACCACAGAAGTGTGAGAAGCAGAGTTCAGATCCCCAGGACCCACATAAGTGCCAGCTGGGCTTGGCAGAGCACCTGTCAGTCCCGCTTCAGGAGACACGGGGAAACCCAGAGCAAGCTGGTTGGTGAGACATGACATCAGTGAGCTCTAAGGTAGATTGAGAGGTAATCCAGGGTGATTCCACGTCAAGCGCAGGTCCCACGTGCACACACATGCCTCCCCTACACACACACGCGCGCACGCACGCACGCACGCGCACGTTCTAGACATAGACATGCCTACTACACATACAGAAGACAGTGCTGTGTGTTGGGGAGGAGGAAGAGTAGAACCCTTGTAAATGCAGCAAGCTGGACTCCACCAAATGCAAAGCCCCTTGCAGTGTGAACGGCCTGACACGGAGGATTTAATCGGGAAATGGCAAGCTATGGCTGGAAGATACAATAGAAACACTCTCACAGAGGACACTGTATAGAATATATAATGAAATCTCACCATTTCCTAGTTTAAAAATTACTTTTCAATGGATTTTTAGTTTGTCGTCTAAACTGTTTAAGATTTCAAACAGTGCATTCCTGCTCCCATCCATCCATGGGGGATATCTAAATTAGTGGCTACCTCCATGGAAGATACCTCTATGGGGGACCACTTCACGGGGGATAGCTCAATGAGCAGATTCTGCATTATAGACAGCTTCATGAGGGGATACCTCTGGGATGGGATACTTCTGTGAGGGAACCCTGAAGCCAGGATATTTTCTGCCAATGCACGGTCACTTCTGCAAACATGCTGTCAGCAGCAAAGTAATGTCATTTGTCTGGCTGTGGCTCTCGTGGTTCTCATGCTGCCTTGAGGGAGGAAAACAAGAAAGGAACCCAGCCTACAATTGCGCCCTCCTTGCGGAAACCACATTGTACAGCATTGTGAATTGTTGTGAGTGCTCTGACTGGACCAGAACATGACCAGAGTGCCACTGGGCAGCTCTTTGTGCCCGGACACTGCACCACCAGCTCTGAGAGCTCTTGGTTGACGGTGTCACCCACCATGACCAGCCACAATCTTCTCTCTAGTCTCTTGGCACAAGGAGGAGCTCTGTATTGAACAATTAGGCCCCAGCCATGGGATGGCACTATCCACACCCAGAGTGTGTCCCTCCTGCTCGGCCTCTTCTGTCTCACAGTCACATCCAAAGGTTTGTCTCCGTGGTGACTCTAAATATCATTAAGTTGACAACAAAGATTAACAGCCATCACATATACCTTCAGATAAGACCGGTGAGAGGCAGAAATGGCCTGTTACAAAGACGAAACCCAGCACTATGAAGACTGTACTTCACTGCCCAACTGTGTCGGTCTATGAGAAGATAAGAGAATGTTGCCTTCTATCCCTCAGCTGTTCGAGGAGAGACCTAAGAGTTTCACACAGTCAGGGTATGAAGTGAGGGTGGGGCGGGGCAAATGAAGTTTAGTTACACCAACCAACAAGGAAAGAATCAGAAGTGACTTGCTGCACCTTTCAACTGGTAAAACCCGTAACTCCTTAGCATTCAAGGACAGGGAGCACGCGTTCAGAGAACAATGAAAAGTTCCTTCCGTTAGGAACAATGAGGGTGACCCTTGTCCTTTGAGTTTTGTATTTTGCACAGTGCTGTGTGTGATGGTGTCATTTGTGGAATTAATGGGGTGTGTGGCTTTGCTGCGAGGCAGCAGGAAGATCCAGAGGGTACTGTGAGTGCCTTCAGGGAGCCAGATCCTGCTTTCTGGCATCGGTAGACAGTGTGTACAGTAAACAGGCCCTGACTGAACAGATCTGAAAAAAATGCAAGGATAGGGCTTGTGTAGGCTCACCCCCCTCACTGGGAGCACCTGGCTCATTGGGCACCCAAAACAAGCTTATTAAAGTCATCAGTGATAACATGAGAAGGGGGGAGAAGTGGCATGCAAAGTGCAAGAGACAAGAAGGATGGCCTCCCTGGCCTGGCATGGAAGTGGCTAAGAACTCAGATCCATGAGTTAGCT